TGGACAGAATCGCGATTCGTCGGTGATGATGACAATGCCATTCTGCCTAGCAAGGTTGCCGTTCTCTTCTCTAGTTCAAGCGTTGACAACAATTGTCCGCAGTCAGAGGACGCACTAACCGTGGACGGTATGGAAATATTCCATAGGCTCGAATGCGGCGATAGAGTGTACGCATAGTAACAGGTCTACCTTCTTCTCCAAACCATTGGTCAACGATCTGACGCTCTATGGTACGCCTCGGTGGACCAGTTGGCCTTCTTCGTGTTTCTCTACATTCTTCTATCCACAGACAACACACGCATTACCGTCATTGCAGTACAATTAACACGTCAGACAATGTCGCGATAGAACAAACCAACATCCAACATGTTGATAGACAATAATTCTACCCCGATCAAAGTCGTTAACATGGTGATAACTTCGAAGTCGTGGGATTTTGTTATGCTTAAATGAAAAGCCAATAACTAAAAATATCTATACTACTCAGCTCTCAGAAACTGCTTTCATCTCAAAAACTAAAAGATGACATTTCAACAAAGGTAAGCAAAAAAAAGATAAAACATTGACATTGTTGCCACAGCATGCTTTAAATATAGTCATTATGTTGCAAAAAAACAAGTTGAAGAAATTATTTTTTCTGGGTGTAACACTTCTAATGTCACATGTGACAATGAAATATTATTATGATATGGATCTAATAGAATGATGATAGAGCAAGGAGATGGGCATGGGAACTCTGTAATAAATCGACGCAACCATCGAATTGAGTCTCGTTTGGTTCGACTAAAATGTAAAATCTATAAAAGTCTCGTCAAATATCAGCTTTTTAATGCTTACTTTTTTTTAACTTTTTTGTTTTCATTGGGATGAGAAAATTTACACAAATATTTGTTGGGTTAAGTTGAAAAACGCTTTTTAGCGACACTTCGCCTTTTTATACTTTGTATAAAATAAAGCCGGATTATTATTATTACTTCGCTAAAATGTAAGTACGCTGTATTTCTTCGATCAATTAAGTAAGAATACTTGTACATATAGGTACGTCTCCCACAGGGATAATCTGACTTTATATATGTCATATCTTCACACAAAATTCCAAGGTTCTTCTTTAATCAGCAATTAAATAGTGCCTTGTACGATTTCGTTGACACCCGGTATATTTCAATTTTTAGCTAATGTTACAGCTCAATAGAAGCTTTTTTTTGAAATATATTTTTTATTTCATTATTTTATTTTTTACTTTTTAGTAGATACATATGATACCAAAGAACTATAGTTTAGAAATACCTGTATCTACCTAATATACATATATTTTATTAATTTAATTAATAGGACTACATAAAACTTTTTACTTTCTTTATTTTATAAGATAAATTATATATTAGTGTAAATGTGGGAGACGTAGCTATATGTACAAGTATTCTTACTTAATTGATCGAAGAAATACAGCGTACTTACATTTTAGCGAAGTAAGCATTAAAAAGCTGATATTTGACGAGACTGCTATAGATGTATTAATTTCACATTATAGTCGAACCAAACGAGAGTCAATTCGATGGTTGCGTCGATTTATTACAGAGTTCCCATGCCCATCTCCCTGCTCTATCATCATTCTATTAGCTCCATATCATAATAATATTTCATTGTCACATTATACGTTCACTATATTGAATTTATAATGACATATCCTCACTTACTCTAGTTCAGACTTTTTCATTCGATAACCAATATCATCTAAGTGTGGTAATGTAATGACAAGTCGCTATTTTGCGGCGGCCGCTATATTGGATTTAAAATGACTTCATTTTGCTTATTGTGTTTGTCTCATCGAGCCCCTCCATTTGATACCCATGCCATAGGGGTGACACTTTGTTAATTGCGTTTTCCTCATCAACCCTTTTATTTGATACCCATTATGGGGCTGACTTTGGAAATTATAAATCGTCATCTTGGAGCGGCTGCCATATTGGATTTAGAATAACGACGCTTTGCTTATTGTGTTTCTCTCATCAACCCCTTTCATTTGATATCCATATCGTAGATATTACTATGGAAATGATAAATCGCCATTTTGCGGCGGCCGCTATATTGGATTTAGACTGACGTCACCTTGCTTATGATGTTGGTCAAGCTGGATAAAAGCTTGTCAAATTGACTACAAGTTTCTAGTAGAAAAGTTGTATATTCTATAAGTAGGAACTATAAGAACATAATTACCCTCTTGATAGAACATAATTTCCCTTTAAGATAGTAAAACGTAAGCTTACTTTAACCATCCAAACTGAAAGTACCTTGATTAACTCTGATTCCAATCATCTGTGAGCACAATTATGACTGTCTACCGTGCTTGGCGGGCACGTCCGCATTTATTACATTCTAACCTTATGAGATCTATAACCGCGCATCACGAGAGATGGCCAGGGAGAGTATCGAGATATCGAATGTGACCTTCCACCCTCCAACGCATACTACCGCCTTCTTACGGTAGAATCTGTCAGATCAACACAGAATCCACGAATCCAGTATTCATAATTCCTTAGCAAATTCTATCACGTGAGTGGCATCCTGAAATCTGCCGTAGGGAGTATTCTCAAAGAAAAATTGAATGCACATTCACCATTTTTTAAGAGCGAAATCGAATGTCGCATCAAACTTGAAATAAATAATTTTAATCAAAATGAATACAAAATATTAAATTAAATGTGCGAACAGACCGCCTAACCTAGTATAAGCCTGTGCGAACATTTTCTGTTGTAACATATTGGCAGCGCGGCAGATTGCACGACCTTCTGCGTCACCGTTGCCAGGCAATATGGTGATGACCCTTGCTCTTCAGCCGGCTTCTACCTCTTTCTAGCATGTGTTGATATTCACTTCTCGCGCTTGTCTCTTGTACATATTAACTCGAGCCGTGAGACAAATTTGGTTTTCCCTGTATATTTATTGCGATAAACATCTGTCAACTGGCGATGAATACGCACAAGTGGAGTCCATTTGACGAGTAAGAAGCGAGTTATGGAACGAATCTGGCACTTGACAGCACCAAAAATGGGAAACTCCAGAGAATGAGCGGCAAGGCGAAAAGCGGCCGGAGGAACTCGAGAGTGTGGAAACTGCCGCACGCAGCGCTGTTGTCGGATTTCCCTTGTACCTTCCATATAATCCATGTTTAACTACCTGCTAAATGAACCACATGTTTGAAATACTGCTTTTTGATGACGCCGTTTCGGCTACAATGGTAGCATTTTTAAAATACAATACGCTTAGCGGCTAGACAAAAATGAGGGATTATCAGCATGAAATGGTAGCACATATTCCTACAACAGAAATGTAAAGAGTGGTCAAACTCTGCTGTAGTAACACAAACCTTTTCAAAATCCTTTCAGTATACTCCTGCACCGTCCATGTGGAAATATAGTACATTTAAAAAATATTCAGGATCGCACATGAAATTCAACTATTGACCAGCATAACAATATGCTTTTTAGATATGTAGATACCTTGTAGATTTATTGCATACTTGGATAGATCTGCGTACTTATGAGTTTTGTCGAATAATTGTTTGGAAACACTAATCTTTTTGTTCTTCAAAATAAGTCGAATGCCATTCCCCATAAGGATTCTGCGGGGAATTTTCATGGATCGATATGTTGTGCATTTGCTGCAGCTGAAAATAATCGCTTCTTTGAAAATAAACGACTTAAGTATAAAAAATCGCTAGGTCCTTCATTTCAGTCATCCCACAAAATGGTGATATAAACGCATAAAGTTCTCATAGTATTACCTCTGTTCCACATATTTGGTTTCATGATGGCCTTACCAGGCATATTGAACAACGCCAAAGTACTGTTACTCAAAAAATTCAAGCCGGATTTATTTTTAAAGTTATACATGAATATAGAGTAACTTACTTGCCAATGGTGGAACACTAATTAAGTTCTTATCAAAGAGTGAACTATGACTATTATGACCTGACTTCCTTGATGGACATATTCTGTGGAGGAGCTCCTGTTGGTGAAGAGACCGCACAACTGATAGCCAGAAGGTGTGTTACTACGATAAAGATATAGAAATGTTGCTGTGATTTCGCGCATTTCCAATGAAGTTATTTCATTCCTCAAAAGAAATTAACATTCACTTTACGAAATATTCAAAGAAATATTAGTCTTGTGATGACCCTTATTTACATAATGATCCGGCGTACTTCCAACTAGCAACAAGTAAGTCACTGACATTAACGATCTATAATCGATTTACTTCTAACTAAATCAGTAATTAACCGAAATAGGCAACCGAATGGAAAAAACTAAAAACTGTATATAAAAATTACTATAGCTTTCGGCCGTTTCTTAAACATTTGGTAGGAATGTTGTAGATATGAGCACACAGCAAAATAATCCTGGTCAAAGAACATGATCTATTTACAAAATACAGTGGCTTCATTGTTGCCATTTGAGACCATACTGTAGCATATTGCAAGTGAGGTTTGTACAGCTGATTGATTCCTTTTCATCATCCATGTTTACGAATGTGTATTCTGGAATTGTATGATAGAATTTCTGAAAAAGTGCATTTTGTGTTTTAAATGACCTGCACAAAAGGTTTAATTGAATATCAAAAATTGTGTAATCTAAATAAAAATTGAGTTTTTTACAGCAAACCCTGTACTCCTAATATTTGAATAGCGAATGTGTATAGATTAGGTTGTCAGACTTAACAAAATACTATGAATTTTTTATGATTCCGTGTACCCATTTGCGGATAGAGAATTTTTTCTAGCTTTGGGAGTATACCATATTATATAATTTTCGTTTTTTGGAAACAACTTTCTCAGCTAAATGAGAATGAAAAGTATAGCATTATTTTGAGCACATAAAAACTCTTATGTTTGATCCCAGATATCTTCATTGTTGATCTTTGAGCAGTTCTGAAGGCTTCCGAATCTTTTTTACAGATTTTGGAGTACTATTTGAATTTTTGACATTTGTTACTTTTTCCAGAGATTTGACAACTTGGTGCCTCGTCAAATCTACGAAATGACAGAATCTGGAGGAGGAACGATTATTATGCCTCCAAAACATGTAAAACCGAGAAGTGTTGGTAAAGTAGTCATGGGATGTGACGTTAAAATTATTGATCCTGAATCACAGGTGAATCAAATTATCTTACCTGATCCTGTATTTTTTTGCTGCTTGGCTCGGTCACTATTGTTCAACCAAATATGTAGAGTTACTCGTTACTCCTTGTAAGGAAAACTAATAGCCAATTGTATAATGAAAAACCGACACTAAGTCAATTTAGGGTATTCAATTTGCTTATTGCGTTTGAAATTGGTTTTAAATGTATGCCTTTCCATTGTATGATGGCTTTCGGGCCAAACAAAATTGGGAGATCTGCATTCGAGGGCCATGTGTCATGAAAAGTTATTTTAAAAATGAAGAGGCTACCAAAAAAGATCTTGATCATCATGGATTTTTGCACACCTGCGACCTGGGTTATTACGACGAAGACATGTATTTTTATTTCTTGACAGGACTACCTCAGTCATCATGATCGTGTCATCGTGTGGCAGCATATGCCTCGGCTATACAGAGTGTAAAGTTAGTAGTGGATCAACGGAAGTCAGGTGATAGAGCGCCTCAAAACATATCGAATTAATCCCTATATGTGTGTTACGAAATTTTATAGTTCAGGAGATATTTTCAATTCTGTGAAATTTCAAAAAAAAACGGGATAAAGAACTTTCAATCGCAATTACAACTAAACCATTAGATTTAGAACTGTTATTTTTTTCTAAGATGAGCCAAATGGTTAGTTTCAGAAATGGTTATGTCACTTCTTAACAGAGCTTATTAGAAATCAAAGCAACATTTTTGTGTGAAAAATCTCTTCCATCCCTCAACTTTGGAGGGCGGTAAAAAAAATTGAGAATTTGCGTTTTCCATAATTTTTATTTTTGCTTCATCGATTTTCTGGCGTAGTTGGTTGATATATTCAGATGTCTATATTATCCCCTTATAAAACCCCATGACCTTGGAGGCCTTCGTATGTGTCCACCTCTACCTATCCAACGCCCAGGTAAGGCCTGTCTTAGTAATGCCGTACATCCCGTGGGGCACAATCGCAACGAAAATACATGCGGCTTCGAACGTCCAAAGGTACATCCTCTAGCAGCTCATGCAAACGGATTTGTAGAAAAGCAAGATATGACTAACCATTCAACCTGGCGGGCAATTCATGTGGTCCAATTAATTTTTTGTTGAGCACTCCAACCCATAAATTAACGCTGAACTGACGTTGAAAGCTGTGTCGGCGAATGGCGTGCGGATTTTCCACGCTCCATGAATGGAACTTGTGCAAGTTGAATATTCCATTTCGGTTAAAGTTGGATTCATCTGTTCATAAGATGCTGTCGAAACAAGTTTTATCCTCTTCGTACCTTCTCAGCATATTCTAACAAAGTTCATCCCGTTGCGCATAGTCGCTTGGAAGCAATTCTGGTACTTTTTGTACATGGTATGGATGCATATTCTCCGAGCGTAGTATTGTGTGCACTGAATGCTTCGTGCAATGGCTCTAATGCTTATAGAGTGATCTCTCGGCTGCTTCTATTATATCTTCTATTTCTTCTGGGCGTATCCTCGGCGCTTCTAGCTAACGATGATGAGTGTCTAGTATGCGACCCTACATATACGCATTATGGACGCGTAGAAAAATTCGGTAGTCGGCATATACCGCCGGTTGTGGTCCACCTCTTCTAACAAGATACTCCCGATACATGCGAGCAGCTGCTTGAGCATTTCCTAGGGCAGCACCATAATAGTAATGCATTTCTGCATAAGCTCGCGGAGAATATGACATGATTCTACTCAGATGCCAAACGTTAGATACAAATTTCGCGCTGGACCATTGCCTGACTTCGGTCGGACCGAAGATTGAACCCTCCCGCACCTGGAATGCCGATTTGAATGACCAAGCTCATTAAGCTGATCTGGCTATTTGAGTAAAAAATCCGCCATTTTGATTTTACAAAATGTTAATACACACAGTATCACTCACACTGCTAGGACGAATCTAACAGTACCTCATATGTCAAAATCCATCAAGTCGTTTGGATAGACTGTAGCTCAAAAAATAGAATTTCTTGTTTACATGTACAAGTATAGATACCCACCTGCGTCACACATAACAACATATTTTTTAGGGTGAGGCACTTATCGTAGCAAGCTGAAATTTTCAGGATTTATTCTACTTGGATTGAAATAGTTTTTACAATCAAATGAATAACTAAATACAACCCCAATTTTTTTACCGCCCCAAAAGTTGAGGGATGGAAGAGACTTTTCAGAAAAAAATGAATTTAAGATTTTTTGCGTTGATTTCTGATTAGCTCTGTTAAAAAATGACATAACCATTGCTAAAATGAACCATTCAGCTAATCTCAAATAAAATCACAGTCCTAAACCTAATGGTTTTGTTGTAATTGCGATTGAAAGCTCATTTTCCCGTTTTTTTTCGAAATTTCACAAAGTTGCAAATATCTCCTGAACTATAAAATTTCGGACCACACATATAGGGATTTATTCGATATGTTTTGAGGCCCTCTATCACCTGACTTCCGTTGATCCACTACTAACTTCACACCCCAGTATATACAGGGTGTTAATAAAGTATGTAGACAAACTTTAACCATCGAATCCTTGGTCAATTTGAAGACTAAATGTTCATATGAACATGGGTCCGTAACGGCTTCCTTTTCGAGCTAGAGCACTATCACTAAAGAAATAAAAATATTTCTGTGAAAAATGAAACGTATTTATTGAACAGTTAGTATAACCTATGATAAATTTTGCATGTTTTAAAAGTTGCTGAGGCTCAATATGAACGTGGACGAAAATAGTATTATCCTGTATTTTTGGGAAAAAATGGTTTAGAAGTTCAATAGTATTGAACAAAAACATTCGAATTGAACGACAACAATAGAAAATATCGAATAGTTTTTTTACAATAAATGTTCAAAGTGTCCACCTTCGACTTCAATACAGGCGTCTAGTCTGTTACATATTGACTGACGAACACTCCTGAAAATACCCGGAGTATTTTGTATAGTCAGATATGACTCGACAATTCTGACTCTTAAGTCCTCCACGCTTTGAACAGGTGTCCTTTATACTAATGATTTCAAATGTCCCCATAAAAAGAAGTCGATAGGATTCATGTCAGGAGATCTAGGTGGCCATGGCTGTGGTCCGCCTCTTCCAATCCATCGATTTGGATAATTATTATGTAGGTATTCTCGCGCAACGACACTGAAGTGTAGCGGAGCACCGTCATGCATGTACCAAATGCGACGTCGTTCTCTAAGAGGAAATTCTCCCATTAATCCAGATAGGTCAAATACCAAAACTCTTCGGTACACTTCGCCGCTAAGTCTGGGGGGAAGGAAATGAGGCCAATCAAGTGGTCACTAACGAATCCAATCCAAATATTGAAGGAAAAGTCGTTTTGCTTATTATGCTCAACTATGGCATGGGGATTTTCTTCACACCATACATGGTTATTATGGAAATTTATTATTGCTGTTCGCGAAAAATATGCTTCATCCGTGAATAGTATTCGATTTAAAAAATGTTGATTTAATGTTACTTTTTCACGTAAACAGTTGCAAAAATCAACTCTTATAGGCAAATCTTGAGGCAAAAGCGCTTGTACACGTTGTATATGATATGGATAAAGTTGCTGATTTTTCAAAATTTGCCATACCGTTACATGATTTAAATTTAGCTGGTGCTCAGATTTTCGTGTACTTGTAGGGTCCTCTTCGATTTTATTAAGCTTCATCGATTTGAATGGTTTTTATACTTGCGGGCCTTCCTGCAACATGTGTGGATCTCTTGAAACTGCCTGTTTCACATAGTCGAACGTGTGAAATGTTGATGTACATTAGGCAGCGGACGTTATGGAAATCGGTCACCATACAAACGTCGCGCTCGTCGAGCGTTACCCAGAACCATTTCGTAAACGAAATGCATATCTGTCATTTCTTGATTACTGAACTGGACCATTATGACAATTAGTAATCACCACAACTTAGAAATATTTGGAGTCCAAGGCCCGTATCGTCAGTCGTCCCTACAATAATTGTAGGGCGCCTTTATGGCCTCCTTGATTGTCATAGTTTTCTGCTTCTCCGCGTCAGCGCTCTATTTTGAGGTTATGCCACAAACATCTATTTGCATCAAATTGTGCTTGCTTTTGAGTTATATCATGTTTTATCAGCCTGAAATTTCCTACAATTTAAAAAGAAAACATATCTTCACAATAGGAGAGCGCTGACGCTGACACGGGACAAGTGTAATCTAGAAATTTTTGAAGGAGAGAAAGGAGTATGACAATCAAGGAGGCCATAAACGCGCCCTACAAATGTAGGGACGACTGACGATACGGGCCTTAGAATGACCAAACAAGAAAATAAATATTTGACAGCTGTCGAATTATTTGAGAAAATAAATTAATTCAATTGTTTTCGGGTACGTCATAGGTGTCTAGATAAGCATATTGCCTAAATATTAATAGTGTTGCGATCAAAACAAATCAATGTCATGCTATTTTTTCAAAAAATACTGGATAATATTATCCGTATCTACGTACATGTAGAGTCTGAAAACAACTGTAACTCATGTGATATTCACCTTAGGGCATACTTAATTAAAATAAAATGCTTTTATAATTTTTTAGAACAATATAATCGTTTCTTTTAGTGCTAACATGCTCTAGCTTGAAAACAAAGCCGTTGCGGACCCATGTTCACATGAAAATTTCATCTACAAATTGACCAAGGATTCGATGATTAAAGTTTATCTACATACTTTATTAACACCCTGTATATACACGGTGTCTGCGAAAGATTGGGAAATCTCGAAACTGAAGATACTACAGACCAAAATATTTAAATTGACCTAAAGATACCTTAGTCCAAAAGTTGATATTTTGCGAGCTTCAGGGTGTCAAAGTTACAATTTTATTTTCTATTTTTCCTTATTGCTTGAGAAGTATTTCAGATTTTGGCATAAAACTCGGTATAGGGTGGTTTTCTAGTATGTGAAACAAGAATCAGTTATTTCTTATGGCCAAACTTCTACAGTGCGTC